CCCCCCAGTGCTCCCGCCGGAAAATTCATCCTAGAGTAGCAATTTTTTCAGCTAGCATCTCGTATTCGGCATTCACTTTCTGATTACCAATGTCAACTAAACAACCCTACCGGAAAATTTACAGTTTATGCAGTTTTCAACCCATATATCTATTAACAAACAAAACAACGCCTCTCTTTCCCCTCCCCATACAAAACTATCATCGCCAAACGCACACAAAATCCGACGACTTCGCTGCCAATGCTTGTGAGGAGAACGCCGCATTGAAAGTGCAGACCCTTCTCAAGATTGAAGCACAAAAATCAGTGAGTGACATATTTCAATCCCTCAGCCAATGCAACTTTACACTATCTGAAGATTTCATTCTTGACGTGCTTAAACGGCACCGTTCTGATTGGAAACCAGCTTTTACGTTCTTCAAATGGGTATTAGCAGGTGGGTATTCACCAAAGACTGGATCTTTCAATGAAATTCTTGATATACTTGGGCGAATGAGGCGTTTTGATGAACTCAACCAAGTGCTCGACGAAATGTCTAAGAGAGGATTAGTTAATGAAAGAACTTATGGCATTGCGATTAATAGATATGCTGCAGCCCATAAAGTTGAAGATGCAATAGAGTTTTTCTATAAGAGGAAAGATTTGGGTTTGGAGCTTGATCTTATTGCTTTTCAGACGCTTCTCGTATGTTTGTGTCGATTCAAGCACGTTGAAGCTGCTGAATTCTTGTTTCACAATAAGAAAAATGAGTTCAAGCATGATATAAAGACGCGTAATATCATTCTGAATGGATGGTGTGTTTTGGGGAGTTTACGTGAGGCAAAGAGGTTTTGGAATGATATTGTGACTTCAAAGTGTAAGCCGGATAAGTTTACGTATGGGATATTCATCAATTCTCTATGCAAATCAGGGAAAATAAGCACTGCAGTGAAGTTGTTTCAGACAATGTGGGAGAAAGGGTGTAAGCCGGATTTGGCAATTTGCAATTCTATTATTGATGGATTGTGTTTCAAGAAGAGAATTCCTGAAGCTTTAGAGATTTTCCGTGAAATGAATGAAAGAGATTGTTTACCTGATGTTGCCACTTATAATTCGTTGATCAAGCATTTATGTAAGATCAGGAGGATGGAGAAGGTTTTTGAGCTTTTAGACGAGATGGAAACGAAGGGAGACGGTTGTTTGCCAAATGCTAGAACTTATGGTTACTTGTTAAATTCCGCCAAGACACCTGAGGAAGCTATTGGGATTTTGGAAAGGATGAATAAAAATGGATGTAAAATGCTTGGGGATACCTATAATTTGCTGTTAAGGTTGTTTATGAGCTGGGATAATCAAGAAAGAGTAAAGAGTACATGGGATGAGATGGAGAAGAGTGGACTAGGACCTGATCAACGATCGTATACAATTATGATTCATGGTCTTTTTGAAAGGGGAAGATTAGAGGATGCTTTGTGTTATTTCAATGAGATGATATCAAAGAGTATGGTGCCAGAGCCAAGGACAAATTTGTTAGTGGATGCCATGAACATCAAGCTAAAGGAGAAAAGAAAAGAGTTGGAGAAGAAGGAAATGACAAAAAAGGGAAGGAGTAATGAGAACACTAGGTAATGCATGCTACAATAATTATTACTATTATAATCTTGCTTGACATGCTATTGGCTTGCTTTAGAATGATGACAAAGGCACTTAGAATGTTTTCCAGAATATAGCAAATCGAGAAATCAGGGTATCTGATCACTGCGTGTTAATGCAATCATGTTATAATTAAGCAATTAATTGGATGGTGATAATTTGGAGTGAACTTTTTGTGTGTAACAAGTTTTCTACACTCTCATATAGGTATCCCTAAGAAACAAACTTGGAGATATAAAAGCTTGATAGCATTATTTTTCCAATCTTTTCATATTATAACCAATGCTCGTCCATATTAGTCTTCAATTTGGAAGTTATATTCTTTGAGAAAACTGCTCAGCAAGTTTTACCTGCCCGGAGCTGGAGAAGTGATTGGGGCTAAAAGTAGCATTTGCTGGTTAACTGCCTTGAGTTGCAGAACTGGTAATGTGGATTGTGGGTTCACTGAACAATGTCCTGTGGTTCACTTGTCCCCCTTTCAACTCGATAATTGTGGAGGAAGTAGAATAAACAATCTTGTTCACCTTACATGATTCGTGGTCATATCAACAGTGGAAGATAAGATGACAGATTGGATCATCTCAATGAGATGACATTTACGGGTTGGTGCTTGGAGCAAGGACAAAATTCTGGAGGATGCTGCAAGAAATTTATGGGACAATGAAAGAGGTTTAGGAAACAGAAGAATGAGAAGTTGAATAAGAATGAAAAAGGGTAGGTGATCCGTGAATGGTGCACTAGAGCTAGTTTTGTATGATATCCTCTTTGCTTTCATAAGAATGTAAACATCAATTAAGAATCTTTGAGGCATCTCTTTTGATGTATTTGCTAAAGCAAAGAAGCCTCATCAGCTTATTATATGCAGCGGCACAGACAAATTTATTGCCCATTGGTTTTGTTTCAGACACTCAGCTATGTGACTAATATAGTTGGCTTCTCTATCTGTGAAACGAGTTCCATTTGCTCAAGGAATTTCTCATCTATAACCTTTGTCCACTGAAGGCATCAGCTTACCGCCCTACATCCTGTAGAAATTGTCTAACAAGACGTCTCTGCTTACTTTGGTAAATCTGCGTTGAGTTGGCGAGTGTGTAAATCTCACTAGAACTTCTCTAAACCCCTTGAATATAATCAGCTAAAACATTATGAAGACCACTAATCAATTTCGAAAGCACATTCTTTGTTGTTGACACTACTGTGTATAGGCATATTCTGCTCGTATTTTGCAGTGCCATCAAAACATCAATACAACAAGTATATCTGGAACAGATGCACTAGTCTCCACATGTCCCCTTCTTTTTCCCCTTTTTTGGGTTCATCACTCTTCCGTTCTCTTCTATCCAACATTATATGGGAAAAGAACACGTATAAATCAGGTGTCTTAACACATAAAAGCGCATTGCCATTGCAGTGCTACAACAGAAAAGGATAGTAATTGCACAAACAAGGTGGAGTAATAATAAAATAATTCATATATCTTACTCAAGGTGCCAGTGGTTTACATTCAACAAGGAATAGATTAAACTGTTGCTGCAGAAGCAGGTTCAGCGGCTGGAGATGGTACATACCAGCCGTGATGGATCTCAACTGCTTTCTTTCTTCTTGCAAGACGTGATTTTCTTCTTGCTCCTGTGTTCCTGTGAAGCGTTCCTACTTTGACTGCTTTATCAATTACTGAATATGCTTCTGCAATCAACTTCTCGATAGTAAGAACTTCCTCTGGCTGTGCATCTGGTTTCTTCCTCAGCATGTCCAATTCTTCCAAAACCTGAAACAGGAAAACATACCTTTAATATGCAGATAAGCAGGTTGTCATGTAGCAATAACTTTTTCTCAAAGCAATTGTCAAGTCTTTCCGGAAAATCTCCACTTTTGATCCTAAACACTATTTTTTCCGAGTTGCAAATGCAAGGGGTGCAACACATAAGAGTTGACCTCAAGTGTTGACTGTATGATCACAGTATACGGACTTTTCAAAAATATTAAACAAGAGATTAGCTTCATAGCCAGAGACAAGGACCTTGACATGTCATTACTTACTAGCAGTGATTTTTTTCTTTGTTTCCTATTCCAGTATATGCTGTGTGTCTCATTCTAGTCTTGTCATTCGAAATTAACCAACCCATCTTAACCTAACTGAGTCCTCAATCGTTTTTGATTGAACACATTTGACTTGTTCAAGTTTAGCTCAACATGCCCACGCAATACCCATATAAGTAGCTTATGCGAGAAAATTTAAAGAGGGGGAACTTGATTAATATGATCGTGAAGATAATTTTGGAAAATCTGGGGAAATGCAATAGCGATCGAACAGAAGTAAGCTCAATCAAACAAAGTTTATCAAGAAATCAGTAATTAGGATTGCAATATACCTTCTTCATCCGAGTTTTGACCTCAGATTTTCGAGCTTTGTTGTAAATCCTCCTCTTCTCAGCTTGGCGTGCCCTTTTGGCAGCTGAATCTGCTTTTTTCGTTGGAGCAGCTTCACAAACAATTGAACGACGTGACGGCCGCTGCAGAGGAGTCAGTGAAACATTTCCTGCAACTTTAAGCAAAATTCTGTAAATCATAAGGGTCACTTAATTAAAGCGAATGGTTGTTCAATATGAACCGAGTACCTTTGGAAAATAGATTGACCGAAGTGTTAGCAGAAAAGCTTAGGGGGTTGAAAGCAGCAGAATTTGGGTGAGAGGGATTGAGAGAAAGGGTTTTGAATTTTCCAGTTAAGCTCCAACAAGAAGAAGATATGGAAGCTCCCGCCATCGCTCTTGCTTTGTACTTCTCTTCCTCCCTCTAGAAAGGAAAATCCTCATCACAAGTTGAGCAACTTCCTATTCCAGCTTATCTGCTCAGCCTGTTTGTTTTGAGGTTTACAAATGGGCTTGTCTGTTATGGATAAGGCTGCCTCCTTGGGAACTTAAGCAAATGTCTCAAATAAATCTCAACTTACCAACCTCTAGCCATTAATTATAAACTTATCAAAACTAGCCAACAAAAATTGAAAAACCAAATAATATGGCTTTTTCTCTCAAAGAATCATATACAAAAATCACCTTCCATATTTTTAAGCGTGATTAACAACACTAGATACAAGACAAAAAGGAAATTTTATGGATGATGTAGCAAATAACGTGATGAAATACAAAAAATATATACAATATTCCAAAAATCTAAACAAAAAAGGAACTTTTTCAATGGGTATAGTTGAAATTCACTGAAAATAAATAGATAAGTCAATATACAAAATTTGAGTAAGATTGGAGGTGATTTGGACGGGTTTCGTATCAAAATTCGTAATTAAATCGAATTCAAAAAGTCTTCTGCGACACATGTATCGCGCATGTATCTCACACACAGGTATACATGGATATACATGTGATACACAATAGATACAAATATGATACATATGTGATACACAAATGATACACAGTGTGATACACATATCATTTTTTTCATGTTCAGTTTTTACCGAATTTTCAATTCAAACCACCTCAAAACTTCACCAAATCATCCAAAAACTGAGATTCAAGCTCCTTAACTTGTGCTCAATCTATTCTAATAACACCCACTCAAAATAAAGCAAAAATTTGATATTTTTTGCTACAAATAGCTAATTGGCTAATTTGACTAATATCAATAACATTTTATCAATTGGCCAATTTTTGTAATGAGCTACCTATAAATGGACATAGCTGGTAATTTTCCTGCCTCCTTTCCTTTAATAGAAAATAGGCTCTACTAGGCCCAATAAAAAGCAGAGGCCCAATAATTAAGTTGTGTCCAAGTTTCATGTTCTCCCCCCGTTCCATTTTATTTGGCACTTTTTCCTTCATTAGTCCATTCAAAAAAAGATTAGTATTATAAATAGTATTGTATTTAAAGTAATGTTTATCTTTGAGAGAGATTATAGAGTTTGTAACTTTGTGGCTAACAGCTTGTTTGGATGGATGTTCCCCATTGTATCGTATTGTATTGTTATCGTAAAACAATGTTTGTTTTGATTGTTTCATTAAAATTGATTTTATTGTATTGTTAAATCTATTGTTCCGGAACAATGAAAAATCCCCATTTTTGAAACAACGAATTGGTGTGGTGGGATTGTTTCCTATTTTTCTTTCCAATTATGCTCTAACTTATTACTCTACAATTCTATTTTACCCTTTAGCTTTTTTGCTATTTTAACTCCATCTCCAACCTATGATCTACTTTATTTTTTTCTAGTTCTTCTGTCGCCAACGCTAAAGGTGTTTTACCGCCTTCTGTTTTATTTTTTCTCTTAATTTGCTTTTAACTCAATTCTAATTAGTTGCGCTCCTTTGTTTTGCCTTCTTCTGTCTCGCTCCTTTGTTCTACTTTCTTAAGGTGTTTTGCCTTCTTCTGTTTGTTTTTTAAAATTATTTTTATGCATAATTTTTAATAAATTTAACATTTAACTAATTGAGGGTATTTTAGTAAACGTATCAGTTACAGTACAGTACGATACAATCAAACCAAACAGCAAAAAATTATTTAACAATAACAAATAATACAATCTATTCAAACATTGTATTCATAAAATGATACGATACAATACAATACATTATAAAACAATGGGGAACAATGATCCAAATAGAGTGTAAGTCACTTTTTCCCTATAAATAGAGGAGTTCTATTCCATTATAATTCATCCCAAATTAATAAGAATTCTCTCTCTCTCTCTCTCTCTCTCTCTCTACTTTTCTCTTCAATACTCTTCTTCTTCTTTTATTGTTTTATAACACGTTATCAGGATTCAACACGAGACTCTAACCAATAGAGTAGAAGGCGTTTGTTTTAATTTGTAGATATACTATGAATTAATTGTCTAATGTTTGAGAAATTAAACCACCCGTGGAGAGAAGAGAGGAATTTGCGTGAGGCTCTTGCGTGAATGCATTGATATTCCAATACTAGACATCTGCTTTAGTCACCAGGCTTTGGTATACGTGCACGGTTCTCAGCTTGTACATAATATTGAGCATACTGATTGTCAATTGTTCAATGAACTTCCTTCAGGAATAAATTCTGAATTTAAGGTAAGTATTTTACCCTTTTTTAAAAAAAAAATCTTGAAATTCTATAATTTAATTAAATACAAGCAAAGACAATAGATTTTGGTTATAAATCTAATAAAGTTTTAAGAAATTATAACCACCTGAAGTGGTAATATTTTTATGTCCCATCATGGTCAAATTAACGTATGATTGTGAGCACAAGAAGTGAAAATCCGTCCCATTGACTTTGTTGTTCTTCTTGTTTCCTTAAGAGAATATGGTAGCAGTATGTGATAAGTTTGAAAGAAGACAAAATTATTATCGTGAAGGTATCAATGGATGTGGACGTGATAATAGACGAAATTATAATCGTCATCATTGTGGTAATGAGAACAATAAAGATTCTCAAAATAATCCTTCACTCTATGAAAGTAATGTATATCATTGATTTGACATGATATTTTGTAAAGCACATATAGATAATTATGGTCCATTCATGATGTGAATGCGACAACATGTGATTTATGAATACATATTCATTCTTGGAAGAATATGAACGTGCTATTGATAATGAATATACCACACTCACCTCTATGAATACATATTCATTCCTGGAAGAATTGCACACGTCATGATGTAAACATGTTGTTTATCAATATTGATAATTTATCCAATTAGCATAATTGGTTTAACCATGTTAATTTAAGTATAATGTGCAAAAATAAAAGAAAATTTACATGAATGCAAAAATAATGTTGTTTGTTCTCATTAATTAATAGACCAACTAAAATTGGGATTGAATTCGATAAATGTTGGAAATATCAAAGGTGAATATGAACTCATTCACCTACCATGTATACCACAAAAGATGCATCTATGAGATAGTTACATGTGCGATTATTACATAAGATGCTCCTCCAGGCTCCCATAGACAACAACTTACCTCCCTATTCCTGCGCTTTGTCACTACTCAAAGTACCCCACCTGATCCTGGTTGACCATACACGGCCCTCTTCCTCACGATCTCTAAATCCATCACCAATAATCTATGCTGAGTCGTGAGATCCTCACTGGGTATAACCTTGCAATCCATACACAGACTCCTATCGCACTTTCGGAGAAATAAATAATCAATTTGAGTCTTGACCAAAAAACTCCGGAATATAACCAAGTGCTCCTCCCTTTTTTAAAAACATAAGTTGGCAATCACCAAATCTCGCTATACTTTGTAATAATTATTTCACTACACACGTTTTGGATTAATCTGATTGCTAGAGACCTTATTATTTATTCTAAAATTAATTTTTGGGTTACACTCTCTTGAATCCTGATTTGATGTTTATTTTAATAAAAATTTCAGTCAAACCGAAAGCATATCAGAGACTCGAGCCAAACTGTCAAAAGGGTGCTTATCGTGCAGCTTTGAACCCACAAAACTGTGGGCAAGTCCGACTAACGCTGCTTTTAAAGTGCCCACTGTTAGTATAGGAACCTGTGCTTCAGTTACCCTGACTTGGTAGTCACTTCTCAGTACGTGGGCTTTCTCTATCTTTTAGATTCTCTGTTTTATATCTTTTGAATTTTTTTTCTAAATTAATATAATGTTATTTATTCTATTTTAAACTACGTATTGTATACTAAAATTACGAGAAAAGAATAAAACGTTTATTGCTAATTTTTATCAGTAATAATTGCAAAATGACTTGCCCGATATGTTTGTAAATAGGTGAGGGCGTGATTCAGGAGCGAGCTGCTTTAGAATTACTTATAAAAGATGGCGTAGGCTTTAGTCCCCAGCCCCACCACTTTTTTATAGGACCAACAAAAGACGTATCAAACGTACAACACATATAAAACACACTTTTCAGTTTTAACTTTCTTGTATTTCATTCTTTTGACTTTTGAGGAAGGGGACTTGAGGCTTCAATCATGTTCAGTCTCTATTGGAACAAAAAGCATAAAAGTGAGTAATCGGGAAATGCCATCTACAGCTAGAAAAGATAAGAATATTTGGGAATACTTCGTTTATCAGACCATTGTTTCTTTCTTGTAGTTTGTGTTTTATTAGTGTTTGATACCTGCAGTACCTTCACGGTCGCGAGTATTGTCATGGGCGGCTTTCCAGCCGTGCCCCATGACNTTTTTTTAAGCATTATTAGGGGGGATCAAGCAATCAAACTTTCTAGCAAGCAAACAATTCTCTGTACTGGTGTCTCTCCCCCTCGACACCGCGTTGCCTTTCTGTAATAGCTTTCATTAATGCAATCAAGTTTTCTTTCATTCTCAATTCTCATTCATGTTCTCTCAATTGCTCTTGACATTGGTTTTCCCGTACGGCACTGACAATCTAGTCTAGCGTACGGAGGGGACCTCAGTTGGCGGACAACAACTGCACTGACATCAGTTGCTTAGCCTTACGTCGCCCTTCCAAGGAATCTCATATTCTAGTTATAGTTTTCTTTTGCTAAGTACGAGAATATATTTTTAATTGAGTCCTTAAATTATTCATCACTATTTGATTCAATTATCATCAATATATCATAGTAAATGATAGATTTCTCAAAGATCAATTTTTGATAGTGTTACGGTAAAAATGTAGTCGCCAGAATATGTATTTGATAGTGTACGTCTCATCTTTAAGAAAAAGTCTAAAAAAACAACAAAAAAAAACGATATAAACCGAATTGATAAAAAATTAACTTAATTGGTTTATTATTTTTTAGGGAAAAACCGATCCAACCGAACCATAATTATCCCTAGTCACGATCAAATATGAGTAAACAGCTCAAAGATCCCTCCTCCTCAACGACAACAATAACAAAACAAAATTTAGTGTAATTAAGAGTCAAAATCACTTTACCCCTTTAGCCTTGGGAAACAATACCCCTCACGTTTTAAATGGGAAAGGGAACCCCCTTGTGCAATATTTTTTTTGGTAAGAGTTTCTTAATAAGAAAAAAATATTTGTTTCAAAATATTTTTTATTTTAATAAACAAAAAATATTTATACTACTTTTTTCAATGTTACTCTTACTTCTTTAGTTAGTAAAGCGTCGATAAGCAATACGTTTAAGAAAAAAATAAAAGATACTCCTCCTGTTTCAGTTTATGTGAACCTATTTCTTTTTTTTTCGTTCAAAAAAGAATGACCTCTTTTTAAATTTGTTAACGATTTAGCTTAAACTTACAATTCTGTTCTTAGTGATGAGCTTTTATAACCACACAACTACTCTGGCCCCTTTGGACTTGTTTAGGATTACAAATTTCAAAAGTATTCATTTTTTCTTAAACTTTGTAACCAGTAAAACAGATTCACATAAATTGAAACGGAGAGAGGAATTAATAAGTGTACAAACTTTAAAAGATAGACAACATGCACCAAATAAAGCATATACATTCTCAAAACTATAATAAATACAAAGGTTAAATCTATTGCTACAAAAAGATAATAGATAACATTGTTCATCTTCCATTTATTAATTTCAAATTATAGATCTGTTTTAAGTTGGGAAACTGGCTATGTAAGTGACAGTGTGTCACATGATAATAAACAAGGGACTGTCACATGATAATATAAACAAGCCACGGATTAGCATACAAAACCAGGCTGTCCCTTTTAAAAATGTCTTCATGTATGTATGAGCTATCTATATGTTTTGGTACTATCATATAGATTAATTCCAATAAAAAAAATACTTAGTACAATAATTAGTGCTTGAAACATTAAGTTTAGGTGTCACACTTTATTGTTGCATTTTTGTTTAGTGGCAACATTTTCTTTAAACAATCATTGTACAAACATTAGAAATTTATAAATGTCTAATACACAATTAAATAGGATTTGCCTAAATCTGGATCAAGTCCAAAATCTCCTCTGTCCTCACATCTACCAGCCTAACAAACCCATGTCCCAATTTTCATTTCTTTGAATAATTATTATTTCTTTCATACTTTTTGGAGACTGAAAATAAAAGAAAAGGCAACTAATTATTGGTTAAATCAATTAAAGTTCAAATTTATTAACTGGTAATAAGAGAATATTTATATACTTAAATCTTTTAAAATTAACAATATGTAAATATCTGAAAGAATCAAGTATAAACCAAAAACATGAAAGAGCTTAATTTATTAGAACCGATTAAATTACAATGAGCAAAATTCATTTTTACAACATCAGTACATAATCTTGAATCCAATCATGAAATACCCAAAAATATAAAAACTTAAAAAGGATTACTTCTACTACTAATAATTCATTAATGATAAAAAGTTTAAAAGAAAATGTACAACCTGAGCACTGGTGCAAGACTAAGGTTTTCCGGTACCACCAACCACAGCGTATAATCTTGTCGATTCGGGTAGCTCAAAACCCGACTCCGAATGTAGCGGGTCGATGCGGCTCAAACTTCCTATTCTTCCAGAAACAACTCTCCGGCGCAAGTTTAGCCGCCACCGCCATCCTCATCGGCTCCGACTTGCACCTCGTCAACACGAACGGCTCGTAAGCCACAGCATTCACCAATTTCTGCTCTATCATCGTCGCCATGGACATCGCCGGAACGCCAACCGCCGGCAGGCAACACGAAGACCTCGGCGGTATTAGCAGATGTTGATCGCTCCTGTTATCCTGCGCTGGGTGCGGAGGTTTAGAATCGATGCTAATCCTTTTCTTCACTGATTTAGCTTGTTTTTCTCTCTCTGGTAAAATGAAGTCGGTGCTGTGTACCCATGTTTCTTTGGATACCTCCATTGATAATTTTGGTTCGTACATCATCATTAGCAAGCAATCTGGTAGAACTGATTTAATTATATCTCCTTTTTTGACTTCATTCTTTTCTGTCCCCACAACTTCTACATCATCAGATTTTGCTGTTGCTTCTTCTTCTTCTTCTTCTTCTTCCTGTTTTGCATCTTCGTCAATGTGTTCCAACAAGAGTGTTTCTTCCATTTCTTTCTTTGTTATGGTAGAGTTGAATGTTTCTTCTTCTTCTTCTTCTTCTGTTGCTTCCGATTTATCTTCTCTGGATTCGCTAGAGTTTTCTGAAAATGATGAATAGCTCTGACTGCTGCCTCCTTCTTCTTCTTCTTCTTCCTTCTCTGGTTCAGGGATTTGGTTATCTTCAACGTTTTCTGTTGTTTGATCTACAGTTGATTCTTCTACTTGTCCAATGGAGTTTACTTCTGCTATAAGTGGCTTTATCTCACTCTGTTCTTCATCTTCTTGCTCTGGTTCGGGTTCTAATTCACTGCTCTTGAGCTTTTCTTCGTCTTTACTACTTTCTATTTCCATTTCCATAATCTCTACTGATTCTGAGATCTCTTCATTTTCCACAAGATCTACTGAATCACTGGTTTCCTCCGGCTCTTCGCACCGTTTGTCAATCACTTGAAGCTCATTATTCCACTCACATTTCTCTGCATCTGGTAGTTCTTTTTCCACATGCTCATTTTCTCCAATTTCATCCTTATTTTCATCTTCTTTTTCATTATTTTCTTTTCGAACAGGTGATTCCCAGAATTTATTAGTAAGATCAGCCATTTTCATAGGATCAGATCGACATCTCATTAAAAGCAAAGCATTCTTAGGCGGAACGCAAATGCTTACTCTAGCTTTCTCTTCTTCCTCCGGTACTCCTAATTCCTTCATTTCAATAATTCTCTCAACATCCTTAAATTCAATATCGTCAAACACATGCCTTCTTGAACTCCTCATTCTACTTTTCATTTCCTCAATTCTCTCTTCTTCTTCACCATTATTAGCTACCACAAACTCAATCTCTCTATTTTTTTCTGCTTCCCCATTTTGCAATGCAACTAACCATCTACCAAAAGCACACTTAGATCCGTTAATTTTCTCTTCCTTTTCTTTCTCGTTCGTCGAAAAACACGACGAACGACGCGGAAACAAACAGCTGAACTCCCTCAAAGCTTCGTATATCGTCAATGGCAGATGAACCCATCTCTGATTTCTATGTGCCGCGCATTCTTGTTGTGGCTGAAGATGCACACTTAAACACCTTTGATTCAAGACATCAGCAGGGGCTTGTTCAATTTTCCTGAAACTTCCATCGCCTCTTCTTTTGGACAAACTACGTGTCTGTTTTACTTTTTTCTTGGTCTTCATTTTCACTTGACCGATACATGTTACTTTAGGAGAAGAAGGTTCTGGGTTTTCAAAATTAGACCCACGTTTCTTGTTAGTGCAGGGAAACATAGGGGACTGGCCACCTTTGATACTGCCATTGGTTTTAAGCCTACGGCTGAGGGAAGTGGAAAGAGAAAGAGGAGTGTCACGAGCATGGCTTGGGCTAAGAATGGACTTGGAGAGTTTCATTGAAGATGAAGAAAGACGAGAAGTGAAGCAGATGAAAAGTTCACTGGTTGTAGTAGTAGTAGAGTTGGTGCGGTGATGGGGTCTGTCTAAGTCCATTAGCTAGGACAGGACATTGATATCTTGGTTTTCAGTACATTGTTATAGACATTGGACTATAGTGGGGTCTGAAACTGTAAAAAGCTGTGTTTTGTATGGTGGGTTTTTGGCAGAGGAACAGAAGAGGTGGTGTGATTGTGGAGTTTGTAGAATAAGAGAAAGGGGGTTGATAATGCAAAACTATGGGGGAAGATGATGAAATGTTGTTTGTCTTTAGTTGAATGTGAAGATGATTTGCTGGGGTAGGGTTTTGTCCGATTTAATATTTGCCAGATTCACCGTATGACAAAAAGGGGGTGTACAGTGCACTCTCCACACCTATTAAGCTATCGAAACCCCAAAAATTACCCATAATTAGAGAGATTAATAGCCCTTTTGGCCAGCTTATTTTTGGCCAAAAGTGTTTTCCAAATTGAGGTGTTTGGGCAAACTTCTGGAAAGAAAAAAAGTATTTTCGAGGAGAAGCAGAAGCAGAAGCAGAAAAAAATAGCTTCTCTTCAAAAACATTTTTTTGAGAAGCACTTTTGAGAAAAATACACCTAGAAGCAGTTTTTTAAAGCTTGGTCAAACACTAATTGCTGCTCAGAAGTGTTTTTCAAACTAATTAGCCAAATACAAACTGCTTCTTACCAAAAGCACTTTTAAGAAAAGTATTTTTGAAAAAAGCACTTTTCAAAATAAGCTGATTTTTGCAGCTTGGCCAAACGGACTATAAGTTTACTTCATAAACATGCCATCACTGTCATCACTAAGACAAATTTAGGGAAAATTCTGAGAAACCTCCTTGTTTGGTTAGAAAACAAGATATAATGAACTAATATTGTAGGAATTTGCAATATAGTGATTAATAATGTAGGGATTATTTTTTATTGTGTGTTTGATTTATTGTACTAAAATTGGATATACAAGATATTATTTAAATATTTATTTATTTATTTATTAAAATAAAAAGGCTATGAGTTTACAATTATATCCTCAGATACTTTACTTTCATAGGCTTCTAGGAAAAATACAAGGTCATACTTGTATTTTTGTTGTTTTATCCGTGTATATATTTTGCACAGATTAATTTGTCACGCCCCAAGCCTGAAGAGGCGTGGTCGGCACCCGACGCCATACTCGGCCCGAGTGTACCACTCTGTAACTGTGAACTCTAGAGGGGTAACTCTCAACATAGGTCGATGAGGCCATATTCTAAATCATCTAAAAATAACGTCTCTTTCATCTGAGGGGTAAACATACCCAAAAGCTCATACACATAACTATCAGGCCGACGAGGCCGCCATGAATTTCTCCAACCAACAATACCAAACTGAAAGTATACACAGGGCTGGCAAGGCCACAATACTGATTAAGGAATTACACAGGACTCGTCTACAAGCTTTTAGAGATAACTGAACTGTATTATGGTCGGGACATGGCCTCGACCTATCTATCAAACCTGTATATATAAAATAGACTCCAAGGCCTAGACCTGGTAACTCGGAGGAAGTGGAGCTTACCAATCAAGCTGATGTTTGACTTTGTTTACTGGGAATATCTATCTAGTTGTCTATCAGGACCTGCATGCATGAAATGCAGCATCCCCAGCAAAAAGGGACATCAGTACGAAATAATGTACCGAGTATGTAAGGTAATAGAATAACTGAAAGCTGAAATTGAACTGATAATATAATAATTGAAAGTAACTGGGAGTCAAAGATAATCTGAAGATATGCTTACATGCTGATACTAACCTAACTCTCTCAATATAGTAAGTAAAATAATTGTCCAGACCTATAAGGCTCGGTATGTGTAACTGCTCTGCCGTCGTAGGCTTGCTCATAGGCGCTCGGTCACACTAGGCTCTGTATCTCAGTCATTCTCAACTTGCTCAATGGCGCTCGATCATAGTAGGCTCGTATATAACTTACCATCTGATAAGAGGTTGTCCAATAGGGGCCTGCCAACCGATTATAGCTCGATGGTGGTAANAGAGAGAGAGAGAGAGAGAGAGTAATACTACCCAATAGGAGCATGCCCACCGATTATAGCTCGATGGTGGTGAAAATACGACAATACTCTATGTGTGTGTGCGTATATATATATATATATATATATATATATATATATATTCTCTGGACTGGAAGAAGATAATACTTAACTGAATATAAAGTCTCAATAAGGAAGAATATTATAACTTATGAGACTAGGATAATGTACATAAGTTCAGGAATACGAACTTCTCTTTATGTCTCATTATCAAACACATGTAGTTATGGGATCATGCCAAAATAAAGGAAGGGTTTAGACTTAACATACCATATCATAATCTGTCCAATAACCACGTTGAACTCGTCTTGTCGCACCTTAATCTACAACAACGAACGACAAGCTTATTTAATAATAAATAGGGCAACACCTCGCCTATAATCTTTACTTCCACATAACACCAGCAACAACAAGAACACAATAATAACAATATGTATACAACATCTTCCAACATTGTCTCCATCACAAAATACCACAAAAGAACCCACACACCCTAATCACTCCATACATAAAACAATAACCATAATAGTGTCAAACAACCTGAAAACATAATGACAAATGACCAGCCTACCATTCTGCCATTATGTGGTGTTTCTCCACATCCTTTATCCTCTAAAACTTCATAAAATAGCATCAAAATAGATAACCCAACAAAAACACGAAACAACCCACAAAACAGTCCACTATAAGTTGAATAACTCAAAATTACGGCTTCTGAATCATCGTTCTGTGAGTTCTTACAATTATTGAACGAATTGCTATACCTTTACAATAGAAAAAATGGATGAGAGAGAGCAGTATACTTACCTTCTTTGGTGAATATCTCATCTCCTATCTTGGTTCTTCAACCCTTAGGTTTTCCTCCAACTAGAACTTGAAAAGAAGAGAAAATTATTTTGGGGTTTGTGTTAAATTTTTGGGAGAAGTTTGCAGGGGCTTATCTCTATTTTTCTTGCTATATAATGAGTGTAATATATGAAGGAAATCAGACCTTAAAAGGGCTTTTTGGCCGACCCAAACTAGCCCCTTTTGGGACATATTCGTCTTTTCATGTAAGCAAGTAGGTGACACACCTACTTGTCACCTATGCAGTCTTGCAAAAATGCAAATACCTATTTACTTCGATGTCGTGTCTACAAACGATTTAATGCGTTAGAAACTAGATTCGTAGATTTTCAATTTGGTAGGTGGATCATCCTTTAATTTAAAGTATATTGGGAGAAAAGCTCAGATATATTTAACCTAATTTTCAACACATTTATGAATGTAAATTTTGATGACCTTTGTCAGCTTTTGTTCCATACTTCGCTTGAATTCAAAACGCAATACACGAATATCATACAACTAAAATAACTCAGAATATAACCTCCTTATCATGTTATGCACACTAGTCTCATCCCAAAAGTACATGTTATAACATCCCAACTTGTCGACTTTCGACGAAACTTATTTTCTTTGATTCATTTAGCTTCTAAGCCTTCCAACCCTCTTGGTACTTGTTATTCATGATCTTAAATATTTTTAACCTCCAAGGTAATATGATTAACTTACTTTATATACTTTCAAAGATGGTCTCACTCCCGAGTTTACATTAAATGACTTACGACATACTTTTACATACAAAAACATTGGGTATAGCATCATTTCCCCCCCTTCGGGACATTCGTCCTCGAATATTGACTGATGCGCTTATCAGTCTCATAACCCATAGATCTTACGAATACTTCAATACTATCCTTGCCATCTAGGCAACTGTTTTGTGAATAAATCTAAATACTAGAGCATTCCCTTTTTAGGCCTCTTTCTCACACTATGACTTGTGGTCGGAATTTTTCCAATCTCGTAACTGTTGCTACCTTCTGCATGCAGGTTGTACGACTTTGTCCTTGTATGTACGCATATGTGACACTTCTCTCCATTTTCCTCCAACTTTTAGCCAACCTCTAGACCTCACTTTATGAACATATATAGAACTATGACAAGCCGTCCCTTTAGGCATCTATAGGGGTACTGAAGTTCTTTGCTCGGTACTTTATCAAACTTACGACTATTGCTATATCTTGTTTCATAGTCTCGGTTGTCTATGCTTTTGGCCTTACTATATCTAGGTAGGTCATACTATACCATAACTCTAAATTTAATTTATTATTACCGAGGTTTGCTACCTAACTCCAGGTTACTCTCTCACTGCTTATCCTATATTTATAAATCTAAGTCCTTTAATGCTTCTTTATTACTATTCATCTAAAGAATGATAGACTAATCTCATCTCAACTTTGTAACTTTTATCCAACTATTGTTGATTCACCTTCATGTTGATCTTTAATCTACCACTGATAACTTGAAACCTCTTATGTAATACATTGTCATTCGGGTTCACGTTTCATCGGGGAACATCTGAAGTTATTTGCCCGATCCACCTAGGGATGCTACTATACTTCAATAACTGTATTTCATAGCATCCCAATGTGATCCATCTTAAGGGGGTATTCTAATCCCATACAATTCATGAAAACCCTTCTCTTTGAATCAATATTCAATCGAAGGCCTAAATGTCATCCGCTTATCATTTAAAACAATTATACCCTTATTATACTACTATAGAAGCATTCCATCTCTTCTAAATGCTCCTAGTCTTAAACTCTTCCGAGTTCATTCAGGTTATACAAAGCTTTCTATTACTTATGGGAACCATCAACTCTCTTATTTTGATGGGCTTAATCTTGAGGCCTTACCTATTCTCGTCACCTTCTCACTCACCTTTTCTTATCCTTACTCATGTCTACCTAAAACCTTGTTGCTCTACCATACTTTAGCTTACGACCTATACATATCTATTTATACTACTCGCAACCTTCCTTTAACTTGCTAGCACCATAGATTTCTTTATATTATTCTAGAACCTCAAGCGATAGATCACATTGTCTCTAACTCTTATTTACTCTCTTAACTAGACCTCTCGGTACCTGGAAACCATAGGGTGAAAGATATGCTACTGACGATACTAGTATCATTTATGAATACTGAATCACATCGCTTCTAGCACTCTACCTGAAGTATGGACTATTTACAACCTTCTACACTTGAGTATCTCGTACCTTCTTCACTTTTACCTTACTTACCATAAATCTCGCATCATATCTCTATCTCTTTCATAACCTTCTTTCCACATAGGTAGGATTCACATCCACAACT